AACTATCTCAATCTTCTATTCTTTGCCAATTTCTTTTAAATGATTGAGATACAAAAAAATGAAAGCACTGATACTAATGATAAGAAGCACAGGCATCACAAACTTAATACAACTGAGAGATGGAAACCATCTAATGTTCTAAGACCAAGCAATTCCTTGGCTCAAAAAGCTGTTCACAACCAGTGACCAAGTATTTACTAACTAGAGGCCCGGTGCATGAAAATTCATGCACTGGGGGGCGGGGGGAGGGGGGGTCCCCTCAGCCTGGTCTGAACCCTCTCACAATCTGGGAGCCCTCAGGTATGGTCCCTAAAGGCAAAGTACAAGTCCGCAGCTATGCAAATGAACACATGTTTATCACAAAGTTTCAAGCAACAAGAATTAAAAACCCATCAGCAGCAGGGCTTTACCTGGTGTTAGATGTTCCTTATTTAGTTTAGTTCCTAAACAATTTTTGGAAGTTTGGGGTTGGTATTTCTTAAGAGGTGCACACCAACATGTGTCCAGCAGGGCTGGCTTCCTCCCACCTGACCCAAGTCCGGAATCCTCCCTACATTAAGGAACTCCGTCCGAACAAGTCTGTACAGGCCACCCAGCGGCAGGCCAACGTGCCTCCTAAGGAAACATCTACTTCTACAAAATTGGTTTTGCCCCCTGGGGAGAACATCTGGTTAAGAACAAAAGATGCAACACTCGGAAGATAACATTTAGAGAACTCCTCACAACAGTCCAAGTGCTTGCTTCAAAATGTCAATTTATATGGCACTTTTTTGGTGCGCAATGGAAAGTGGTTTTGGCACTTTCACAAGTCCCAAGGCTCCTAATCCAGTGGCAAGCAGTGCACCCATTTAAAGGGCCACACCAAAGCCTGTGGAGAATGAGCGAATTCACCACATTCAATGGAGTCCAGAGTCCACCCCCCTCCACTCTTGCTCTCGCTCTCTACCACCACTGCTACCACCGCTTCCCCTGCTCTCTCCTGGGCTGCTGTCCTAGGCGAGCCATCTTTCCTGTTCCTTTCCAAAACATCATCTGATCACATCTCCTGCTCCCAGGGACCTCAAGCCCAACACACTTCCAATGGCTCCTCAATGCTCCAAGAATCGTGCACAAACAACCTCTCCCCGAGATGCCCACTGCTCCCTGACCCTCCTGCACTCCCAAAGGTCACCAGCAGCCTTCCTGCCACACGCCCTCCCCACCTTCCTTCAGCGAATGAGGGTGACAGCAGGAGCACAGTGCGAACAGTGGCAAACTCAGTGTTGGTGCTGCTGACCATCCTCCGGCCAGAGAACTCTCCTCCTCTACCGCCCCCACCAGGGTCAGACAGCCCCAAGGGGCTCGGTCCTTCCTGGGAGTAGCTCTGACCCACTGAGCTCCACCCTCCCTCTCACTCCCTCCAGTACCTCTCCAGAGACAGGGTCTTCCTTCTCCGGGTCAAGACAATTTAAAATACCAGCCACTGTATCCTCACATCATATACAATAGCAGCAGTCACCCCAAGAAAAAAACAACAGTCAAAATATTTAAAGTAATAAAATCCAATGTAACATAAAAGGAATTTTGATTTATTATTTCTGGTTTTTATTTTTCAAGCTAGTACTTTCTCCCTTAGATGAAAATATTTAAAATTCACTATATTTACTCAACATGCACAAGATCATCCTATAGATACTTCTGTTACACATATGTGGTATTATGAATAAAACACTGCAAAGAGAAATTCACAATTTTTTTAAGTTTTAATTTATATGCGTGCCCTTCCCTGTGAGCCCTCAGAAACCTAAGGCAAAAAATAAACTTCTCTCAATAAAATGTATCCTGTGTTTCAAATCCTTTTTTAAAATACAGGTATGCACTGTTCAACTATACCCAGACTACGTATTATTTTTTTTAGAGACAGAGAAAATTATAAACTACTAGGGGCCCAGTGCACGAATTCATGCACCTTGAAAGGAACTGTGGGCCACGAGGCTGTGATGGGCACAGGGGCGGGTGGGTCTCAGCCCATCCTCCGCGCCCCCGCCCAGCCCCTCCTGCCGCTGTCCCGGTCCCGCTTGCCGGTAGCCCCGCTCCCACGTGCTGACAGCGCTGGCTCCGCTCACACACACTGATGGCATAGAGCAAAGGGGTCAGCGCCGGCAGCAAGTGCGAGTGCCGGGCAGGACCACGGCGCGTGGGAGCAAAGAATTTTCAGTAACCACCAGAGGCTCGCCCCGATGACAGTGACCGGCAGCCGCCTTGGTCTGGGGCCCCGCTAACCCGCTCCATCATCCTGCTGCGGCCAACGCCCAGACGCCTACCATGTTCCGTGCTCTGCCGCCTACTGCCGATGCCATGTTCCGTGCGCGCCCCTCAGTAGTCAGCGCACATCATAGTGACTGGTTGTTTGGTTGTTCCACCATTCGGTCTATTTGCATATTAGGGTTTTATAGATATACCTATGCCAAAAAAGCCATTTTCACAGAACATATCAAAACTCAAAAAACTCCCTCACATATAATCTTCTCAAAATAAACAACCACTGTCGCTATAACATAAAAAGTTCACAGAGAAAGTGAAAAACAGAAAAACTTAATGAAATAAATTAGGACAATGGGTTGTTCAGCTGACAGGTGTTTTACCTGAAACTGCTTTAAGAAAAAAAAATTCTTTATAAATAATTAGTCACAAATATTTCCCAAACTCTGATGCTATTCACATTGCAGGATGTTTAGCAGCAATGAACAAATGCTAAAGTGTTAATAACCAAATCCCAAAACCACCATATACAAATCATGCCAACAAATACCCTAAACAACTCCAATGCATAATAGTTCTAGAAACTACACATTTGAAGGGAGAAGAAAATGGAGACGTTACTGTTTCTACTATCTCCACCACTAAGACTTAAACTTCCCAGTCCATAACTATTAAAGAACTTCTGTGATAGTATGAAAATACGCATGACACAATCAGGAAAATGTGTGAGAAGGCATTGTGATTATCTACAAAACCAAAAAGGTACATACTGAAGTGTTTATGGGTGAAATGGTTAAGATAAGGGGGGGAGGAAGACCACAGATACCAGATTAGTCATGTGCTGGTAACTGTTAAACTGAGTGAGTAATCTATTCTCTCTCCTTGTCTATGTTGAAATTTTCCAAAATAATAAAATAGAACTGCTGGTTAGCAAAATCTCAGGCACTATTTTGTTCATGATTGTATGCCTCTTTTGCAGATTTTTTAATTCCTTAGGTTTGCATAATTTGAGATTTTTCTCAAAGGTACAAACTCTGTAGTCAGAGAGCTGTGCTGCTGCCAGAATCCCCAACACTTCCCAAATGCAGTGCTCAGGGGCTAGAAGCAGAGAGGAAATGAGGAGCCGTAACAACCAGGAACCTGCTGCCACGGCCACAAAGCTCTCCCACCTCTGAAAGCCATTAACACACATTCAGGTTCCAGTCTTTCTTTTTCCTTATGGTTTAAACCAGACTGCTGGCTTCTGGTTTACTCACCACCCTTCACATCCAAGCTGGCCCAGGAAGATGCAGACAACCGACCCGTGTGACCAGGTCAGAGACAAGCGCTGGCTCGCTCACTTGGAAGAGTACACTCACCACTGAGATTTGGCCAGAAAAACCGGGTTAGAAAAAACCCACTCCTTCTTGAACAAGCATTGGGGCTGGGGAGTGTTACAGCCGTTACTAGGCCACTCCGGAAACCGCAACACAATCTTCTCCAAAACGTCCCAAAGGCGTCCAATTCAGTCCAGCCCAGGAGGCTGACTTAACAGGGCTCCCTTTCAAATTCAAAAATCTGGCCTGGGCCCCAAGGGCTAAACAACAAAACGTAGGCTGCTCCACTTGCGAACCCTAAGAACAGCTCAAGTCCAGACCCCAGGCCCATCTACAGCCCAGGCCGGGGGAAGGCGGGCTGGGGGGAGGTTCAAGTGGCCCCCGAACGCTCTCCTAAAGCCGCAGACAATAGGCTCACACTTCATGTGGCCGCAGAAAATGCCCAAGTCAGCTGTCAACCCCTCCTCCATTCCCAATGAGACAATGACAGTTCTTCATGGAGAACCACAAAGCCCTGCTTCAGGAAGTATTTCTTCTCTCAACCGTGCACCCTCTCAGCTAGGAAGCATGCCCCGTGCACATAACTTCCAGAAAACGTTTAAGGAGAAGAAACGATGACGACGCGGAGCACCTAACGCGGTGCGTGGCGTGCTCCAGGCCTGCGCCTCCACGCCGCACCACCTGCACCACCTCCGCTCGGCCGGGCGGGCCTCCCGCACTCCCCTCCCGCACGAGCCGAGCCGGGAGGATGCGCCAGGAGGGCGGAGGCCGCCAGGGGTCAGCTTCAGGGCCGCTGGCTCCCGGGTGCGTTGCACGCGCGGTGGGGCGGTGGGTGTTGGAAAGGCCTGGTGGGTGTGAAAGCTGGGCATCCTCTTTCCTCCTCGCCCTCCCTCATTTCTGTGTCAATTACACACCTGTCAAACAGGTTATTCCTGGAACTAGACTTTATAATCCGCGCACGGCAATCCTTCCGGCTCCTGCGGCCCAAACACACGCCCCTCCCTCCTGCCCCCAAATGTGTTTCCGTCAATAGAAGGAGGTCTGATCGTTATAAAGTGCCGCCACTCTGCACCTCGGCCCTTGGCAAGCACTCACAGGAGGAAACATGAGGACAATTTTCAAGAGGGCCAGGCAGTGGTTTAGGATAATCACAGACAAGGCCTTCTATTCTGAATTTTAATTCGCACACGCTCAGAGGGCCAGATTTGGGAAAAACAACAAAATGAGGGCTGTCTTAGAAAAATGTCTTCCCACTCCAGGGCAGAGCGTGCCGGCGAGCGCCGCTGCTTTCCTTATCGCACCGCCAGGAAATGAGGTCTTCGGAGGCCGGTGGGAGCCCGCCGTCTGCGCGGGCGGCCTGCAGGCAGCTCTCCACGGGCCGGCGGCCCCTCGGTCCCCGAGAAGTTTCCACGCGCGGGGAACAAAGAGGGCGCCCACACTGACCTTATAGACTTGCCCGTAGGTGCCATTTCCAACCACTTCCACCAGCTCGAAGATCCGCGCCGGGTCCTAGGCGAGAAGGGAGGGTTACCATCGCGAGCGGCGTACAATGAACCAACAGAGCGGGGCCGCCGCACAGACCGGGCGGCCTCGAGGAGCTGGGCGCCGCCCGGCGCGCTCGCCGGAGCCGGAGCCCGGGGCCGGGGGTCGGGGCACGACCCGTCGACGTCCCCGCCCCGCTCCGGCCCTCGCCTGCCCCGACCCCCGCAGGCATTCAAAGGATCCGTGTGCCCTCGTTTCTCCCTTTTTTGGCCACTCACCCGCTGGTGA